TTACATGTGATCAGCTGTGATTGGACACAGCTAATCACATGACCGAGCCGACATCATCGGCTCTTTCCATTGATCGGTCATCCGCTGTGTCTGAGGGACACAGCACACCGCAGATCGCTGTGCACTCCCTGAGCCGTGCATGCAGTTAGAATGGGAGGATGTCATATGACGTCCTCCCAGAACGAGAGAACCACCTTGAGCCCGTCATTGTACTATATGGAGGGTGGGAGGTGGTTAAAATAACAAACATGTTACACTTACCTGCTCTGTGAAATGGTTTTGCACACAGCAGCCCCAATCCTGCTCTCCCAGGATGCCCCGCTGCCGTTCCTGGCTCTTCCCCCCTGCTGAGTACCCTCATAGAAAGCCGTTTACTATGGGGGCATTTTTGCATTCTTGTTCCCGAGCCACCTCTATTTGTCCATTGACACACAGAGCATGTCTTGGCCCCGTCCCCTGCTCCCTCTTCATTGGCTGTGATTGACAACAGCAGGAGCCCATGACTCCCACTGCTGTCTCTAAGCCATTGAGGAAGAAGAGAACAGAGAGAGCCTCTACTCTTGTGCAGAGTGCTTGATCAAGATCAGGCTCAGGTAAGTATAAAGGGTGGCTGGGGTGGGCTGCGTGCAGAAGGTTTTTTTACCTTAATGCAGAGACTGCATTAAAAAAAACCCCATCTGTCTAGAGAACTCCTTTAATGGGGAAAGGATCAGTTGTAGGGAGTCTACAAGCAAAACCAATGACTAATTCCTTTACCCCATGCCTGCCTTTATTGGGCACAGCTTTCACAGCTCTTTAAACTGGCCTAGTGTATGTGACTTTAGTTTGTAAGCTCATAGACAGGATTAAGTGTAAAGTGCAGATACATCTGACAGTACTACCTAAATGAAAAATAGAAATACATTGCTAAGGTGATAGTTCTTTTTCACAATCCTATATATTCATTTAAGTGCCAGAGTATAGAGAAGGGTTAGCTTTGTTAGCTTGGTAATGTCCTTTAACTTAAACATACCTCTTGGCCAGCCACAGTTTGGCTTTCAAGCTGTCAGTGATGTCACACACCTCCTGCTGAATTCGCTCTGAATTACTTGTGTGTTTTGCCTCGAAGAACGACTGGAGCAAGTAAAAAACCTAGATGAAGTAAAACAGAGGGGGAAAAAAAACTTAAGAAATTTGCCTTCACTGTAAAAACAAGTTTTAATCCCCAGATCCTCAGAGCCCACTTCTCATCAAAATGCATCCTTTGATGAGCGAACAGCCACCTGTAGCTGACGAGTGGAAGCGAGGCTTTCAGCTGGAAAGTCTGCTCCCGCCGGAGAATGCCTGAATGTACTAGGCCCAAATCCTTCCCTTGTTTATAAATGACAGCCTGTGAGCTTCTTGCACATAGAACGAAAAAAGCCAAATTACCTCACCATGCCATCAAGATTTCCTAGTGAAGTCACATCCTTGCAATTAAAAACAACGGACAACCAAGCCGAAGCACCTAATTCCAAATACAACAAGTTCCTTACAAAACTTTGGCCCATACTTATATATATATATACACATACACACATACAGTGCTCACCATAAATGAGTACACCCCTTTTGAAAAGTAAGATTGTAAACAATATCTCTAGAAACACAAGAATCATTTCCAAAATTCAGACTAAACTGAGTTTTATAGAACATTTGTTTAGCTCATTACATGAAAGTAAGGTTGATAATATTACAAAATCTTCAGTTTTACACAATTTTAGTTGCTGCAAAAATGAATACACCCCACAACAAAAACTACTACATCTAATATTTTGTATGACCTCCATGATTTGTAAGGACAGCACCAAGTCGTCTAGGCATGGCATGAACAAGTTGGTGACATATTGCAACATCTTTTTCCATTCTTCAAGAACGACCTCTTTTAGAGCCTGCATGCTGGATGGAGAGTGATGCTCAAATTATCTCTTCAGAATTCCCCATAGGTGTTCAGTTGGATTCAATCAGGAGACATACTTCGCTACTGAATCAGTTTCAACCTCTTCTTCTTCACTAATGCAACAGTGGCCTTAGATGTGTGTTTTGGATAACTGTCATGTAGGAAAAGTGCACAATGACCAAGGGCATGGAGTGGTGGTAGCATCTTCTCTTTCAATATACAGCAGCACATCTGTGAATTCATGATACCATCAATAAAAAGCAGCTCAACACCAGCAGCACTTATGCAGCCCCACAGAAGGATACTGCCACCACCATGATTCACTATAGGCACCATGCATTTTTCTTTGTACTCCTCACCTTTGCAAAGCCATACAGTTTTGAAACCATCAGTTCCTAAAACATTTAATTTGGGTCACATCCCTCCAGAGTACAGTCCCAGTAGTCTTCTCTTTCAGCATGGGCTCTGGCAAATTCTAGGAAGGCTTTTTTGTGCATGGGCTTTAGGAGAGGTTTCCTTTGTGGATGGCACCCATGCATACAATTCCTCTGCAGTGTACGCCGTACTGTGTCACGGGAAACAATCACTCCAGCTTGGCTTTCTACTGCTTTAGCTAACTGCAGTGAACTTGTATAGCAATTTTCTTTAACCCTTCTCATCAGAAGACGCTCCTGTCGAGGTGTTAACTTCCATGGATGGCCTGGATGTCTCTGTGAGATGGTTGCAGTTCCATCTTTGTTAAATTTTTGTATCACTTTTGCTACAGTATTCTGACTGATAAGCAAAGCTTTGCTTATCTTCTTGTAGCCTTCTTCTGTAAAGAAATTATTTTCTTTCTTAGGCCTTGTGACATTTCTCTTCCATGTGGTGCCATTACTGACAGCATTAAATGGGAAGGGGTTTTCTTTGTTAAGTAACACCCTTTTATAATCAACTGTCTGCTGGACACCTGTTTAATGAATAATTAGACTAACCTGTAGTTGAATTCGAGTTAATTAGGATTTTGTTGTCTAAAGTTTAGCTTTGCTCCTAAGACTTTCATTGGGGTGTATTCATTTTTGCAATATGGTTTTGAATTAATTTGTTAGGAAAAATACTTTTTTGTGTGTGCAGAATAACAAATCTTGTTTGCAATCAATTTGTGGGAGTATTTTGTAGTATAGTGTCCCATAGAAAATGTTGATTCTGAAAGGAAAGCAAAGGTGTTCTGACATGTCTGTTGGGGTGTACTCATTTATGCTGAGCACTGTACATGAGATAGCACAAGGATTATCACAAAGGGAATCACACTACAAATTATGACAAATGTTTGACTGCCATAATTGAGATGTTCTATAAGATGTTTGCCAAAGAGCAAATGGAACCATTTGAAGTGGAAATAATGAAGCAAAGGTCTACAAATCACCCTATCACCGGATCTCTATGAGCCAAACGATATAAATCATTACAATTTGTCTTTCGGACAAAAATGTAATTTTTGGAGATTCAGATGTATACAAATCTCCAAATGGATATAGTTACAAATGCATTTGTTTCATTGGGATGATGTCACATGATGCAATTGTAGTTTGAGCCCATGGGGAAATAAATGTCCTTTTAAAATTTCTTTCATAACCTGGATTCGGACAATGAATGTATCCAAATTTCATTCCATTCTTTAATTCGGATGTACACAATGCCAGTCAATATTTTCCAGTCAGCTCATGCTGTTTCCCTTTGTGGGTTGGACTAGTGTCCAAAAATATTGAATCCTTCCAATTTGAATCTGTCCAATTCAATAATATATAGAATATATAGCAATCTTCTGAAAAAAAAAAAAAGCTAAATTTTTTGAATCCACGCGGACCAATGAATATATGAAATGATTGCCAAAGATACAAAATGATTGCCAAAAACAAATCAGTTCAACATAATGAATATGACTAAGCAAAATTCTTCAACGAATGAATACATTCGAAATGAAACAAAATTTATGGTGTGCACATTTCTTATAAATCATATATTACAGGAGTAATTTTTGTCAGTCTACAGTAAGGAGCAATACTGAGTGACTCAACTTGGGGGGTCATAATATAAAGCTGACCATAAAAATTAGATCACCATTATGCAGCACAATAAATTCACCATTCTCAGGTAGAAAATAGTCAATTCAAGAACATTTCAAAGTCAATGAATATCCTATGGAGTACAGATAAATGAATAATTAGGAAATTATAAGAAGTCTATAAAGAACAGACCACTCACCAAAAGTAAGTGGCCATTACAGAATGAGCCCTATGACCACTCTGAATGAGGTTCAAGCTTCAGTGGCTAAGATAGGAAAGACTAAGCATCCAACTGATGCCTGGGTTCTTAACCTGTCACAGCTTTATGAAAAAAAAAAGTGGCAAAAGACTAGTTACCAGTATTGACTGTTGGTTCCTTGAGGCTGATCTTCTTCTCAATACTGATTAAATATACTATGTTCTGAACTGTGTCTCTGTGTGGAGGTGGACATCTTTGTTGAGGCAGGACTTTGCTTTCTTATGAGAGTTGCTTCCTTGATGATTGCTGATTTAATTGCTGGTGGGGTAATGATCAAGGAGCACAGCTCCATAGATTGAATAAATAACACGCAGAAAGAAAGACTGATCGATCTCCACAGTAGAGCCATCATCAAATCTTACTCCACGTTTTGAGAGACTATCAATCAGAGGCACAGTGCCTTAGATTCAAGCTGAAGACACAGCTATGAGGCTCAAGACACAAGAGTGCCTAGGCACAGGGAGCAAAAAAGGAAGTAAAAAGGGCAAATGAAGGAAACATTTTTATGATACTGCTCAGGCACAATAAACATTTCTAAATGTTCCCTTTAAGATAGTAAGTCTTCTCTTGTAGTTATCAACTCAAATTCTTGGACTGAGAGTCTGGCCTCACCACCTACCATATCCTTTTATTGTACCATCACAGTGATGTGTGGCCAATAGGTTTAAGAAGTGGGAGCAGTGTGACAAAGTGGGAAGAAACCTTACAAAGCAAAAACCTAGCACAGGTTTTAACACTTCCCTGCTATATCCAAAACCTAAAAATAATAAAAATAAAGGTTTTTTTTTTTTAAGAATTTTATTTTGTTATTAAAAATGTCCTATAATTTCTGAAAAAAAAATGGAAACAAAGTGACTAATGCAGGCCATAGATGGGTCGAAAATCGGCCGATTTTTCGGCCGAAAATAAAATCGGACTATTTTCGGATCGTTAGTGGGCTAATTGTTCGGCCGTTTTTTTTCGGTATTTTGGCAGATTTTTTTTATCGGTAAAGTTGGAAAAAAAATTTGCCGATCGGCCGATTTTCGCGGCAATGATGGGCAAATCGGCCGATCTTTTTACCGATAAAAAAATCTGCGCATGAGCAGTGACCTGCAAGAGGAAGACAAAAAGATGAAAAAAGAAGAGGATGAAGAAGAGGATGAAGAAGAGGAAGAAGAAGAATAGGAAGAAGAACAAGAGGAGGAAGAAGAAGAATAGGATGAAGAATAGGATGAAGAAGAGGAAGAGGAAGAGGAAGAAGAAAAGGATGAAGAAGAGAATGAAGAAGAAGAAGAGGATGAAGAAGAGGAAGAAGAAGAGGAAGAAGAAGAATAGGAAGAAGAATAGGAAGAAGAAGAGGATGAAGAAGAGGAAGAAAAAGAGGAAGAAAAAGAGGAAGGAAGAGGAAGAAGAAGAGGATGAAGAAGAGGATGAAGAGGAGGAAGAAGAAGAGGAAGAAGAAGAGGAAGAGGAAGAGATGATGAATGAAGAAGAGGATGAAGAAGAGAATGAAGAAGAGGATGAAGAAGAAGAAGAGGATGAAGAAGAAGAGGATGAAGAAGAGGAAGAAGTAGAAGAAGAAGAAGAAGAGGATGAAGAAGAGGATGAAGAAGAGGATGAAGAAGAAGAGGATGAAGAAGAAGAGGATGAAGAAGAAGAGGAAGATGAAGAAGAGGATGAAGAAGAGGGTGAAGAAGCTGAAGAAGAGGATGAAGAAGATGAAGAAGAGGATGAAGAAGAAGAGCAAGAAGAAGAAGAGGATGAAGAAGAAGAGGATAGAGAAGAAGAAGAAGAGGATGAAGAAGAGGAATATGAAGAAGAGGAAGATGAAGAAGATGAAGAAGAGGATGAAGAAGAGGAAGAAGAAGAGGATGAAGAAGAGGAAGAAGAAGAGGAAGCAGAAGAAGAAGAGGAAGAAGAAGAGGATGAAGAAGAAGAGGATGAAGAAGAGGAAGAATAAGAAGAAGAAGAGGATGAAGAAGAGGATGAAGAAGAAGAGGATGAAGAAGAAGAGGATGAAGAAGAGGAATTCCAGTCCGGCAAAAAGTGTCCCTGCAGAGAGCTCCGCTATTTCTTTGACAGTTCCTTGACATTTATAACGGTTGCAACAATGTATCTATTTGTTTCCGAATAAAAACCATCTGTATCCTAAATGGATACAAATAGATACATTGTTGCAACCGCTATAAATGTAACGTCAGCCGACACTTTTTTTTGCCGGCTTGATAAAAACGATTTTTTTTTTTTTTTTTGAACGTTTTTTTTCGTTTTTTTTTAAAGAAAAATCGGCCGATTTTCGACCCATCTATGGCCTGCATAAAGGCATTCTGAACAATTAATGTTCACGAACACCCCAAAATCTCAATATTTGCTAATTCGAGGGGCTTACTAATTTCCCCAAAATTTGCAGATCTTAAAGATAAGGCATCCCCTGAAACAAGCGTTTCACTTTGGGTAAGATAAGTAAAAAGCATCTTGAACACCAAAAAGATGCAGAGGCTGCACAACTCAACAAAACTTGAATTTAATTTAAATTCCTCTATTGCTGAAAATATGGGGAAAATTATGAGAAAAAGAATTAAAATGAGACAAAAAAAAAAGTAAAGTACTTGGAAACTTGTGGCAATGTGGTTCTTTTATGGCAGAACAGTACGAGATTTTATGAGTTGCTCTCGAGGAAAGTGAACGTTTACAAATTACTATTTGTCTGGTACAAGATGGGAGTACACGCTGAAATTTTCCACTGTGGCCATTTCTGGTTTGTTTCCTCTTTCTATTGAGTGTTTGGTTCAAATTATTCTGTTTACTGCAAATCATTTTCCATTTCCCTGACAGAGGCGGAGGGTGGGAATTAGTGTACAGATTATTTGGTTAACCAGGTCAGGCATGACAAACACAGAAAGCAGAAAGGCAATCAAAAAGCTAGGTACATTACTCAGATCCCTTTGCCTTCACCTGTTATATCGAAATACAAATGACAATACAATCCACATCAGGGTGAACAGCTGTAATTAACATATACTCTGTTGAATCCCTCACTAGAGGAATATGGGGCTTTTAAAGGTGCCATACAGAGATTACAAACTATCTGGTAAAATAAAATAGCTGTTCTTTATTACAAATGTTTGCTTCACAGACATGTATTAAAAAGCACACTTAGCAGTACATACATAGTTAAAATGTGAATTCCAGCATAAATGATTGTTTTGCCTCTCAAGAAGCTATAGATATACTAGAGAGTGCCTACATACTTCAGTCATCTAATTTAACAACATTTTAATTAGTAAACTTTTAGAATGTCCACTTCACATATGGAACAAATGGTGGAGGTAGCTGTATTATATTTTTCTTTTTGCATTGCCTCTTCCGTCCTGAGGAAGCCAACATTGAAACACGCTGAGATAAGCTCATTACAGTGGTACAGTAAGAATGAACCTGCATCCACAGTACACTGGGGGAAGCCCATCCTGGATGGGGGTCACCAAAAGAAGGAAACCAGTGCAACAAAGAATGGCCAAAACATGTCCCCAAGATGACTACAGACTTTTTTATGGAGGTATTTTAATAATAATGTAGGTAAGGTGAATCTTTTCCAAATGTTTTCTCATACTGGCTTTTAGCAGGTCTCTCCATTCTTAAAGTGTAGATAAATACAAACTTTTTTTTCATTTTGGATAGAGCAAGGGAGAGTTATAACCTCCATAAGTTTTTCTTTTTCCATGTGTGTCCCATTGTGGAGATTCTACTTCACTTCCTGTCCCATAGCCAAAACAAGAAGTGAGAGGAAAACCCAGTGTCACCAGAACTAGTGCCCCCATTAGAAGCTTTTCCCTTGTATTAGTGCTCTGATGTCAACATAAAATTTGTGATTTTCTTTTATTTTCACTTTCAATGATAATGGTAAACAGGACAAATAGAGGGTGAATCAATAAAAGCAATAAAAACTGACAAGTGTTCTAATCCCTCTCCACTTTATCCAAAACTAACGGGAAAAAAAGGGTTTTCCTTTGCTATACTTAAAGAGATAGCTGGGTGCTGTAAATCAGCCAATTACTAATAATCCAGGATTCCATGGTGGAGATTACTGCTGGAGGCTGCAACTCATACTTCTTGAATTCTCCAGTGATGTCAAATTGTACCTTTTAACTTGAGTTCCTCTAGAAAAATAGCAGTTAGCTTCCTGTGCCTAGGCACTATTGTGCCTCAACCTTATAGCAGTATATACTACTGCTTCTGACTGGTAGTCTTGTGATATTTGGAGTAAGATTTGGTAATGTTGCTATAGTGTTGCTCGCTGTTCGCCTTGCAGGAAAGTTGCACCTATAGGCCTACAGTGCAAGGTACACCCTGCTCCTGTTCCATCTATTCTGTGAGTCTGTGTTTTCCCCACATTTGCTGCTGATCATTACCCCACCAGTCATCAGATCACCCATTGCCAGGGGGGCAACTCTGACATGAGTAAGCAAAACGCTGTTCCTTCTACTAAGATAGCCAACTGCACAGAGTCATATGTATTAAGGCATTGCTAGTCAGAAATATGAAAAATATCAACTGCAGGGATCCTATAGGCAATACTAGTGATTAATCCCTTACCCTTTACTTGCCCTTTTGGGCCCAGTTTCCACAGTTCAGCTCCCCTGTAAGTATATGCAGTGGTTGTGAGCATTTAGGTGAACCTGTTACTTTTTTTGTGATCCAAACAGGTCAGATCCCTGGCCTTTAATGCAGCAGTCAAGAATACGTCCCTGACCGGCTGTTGAGACAATGAAAGAGCAGCAGATCATCACTTTTCTCTCTTCTCCCAACCGCATGTACAATGCAGTAGAACCTGATTGGCTATTAGTGCTGCTCCTCCCTCTCCCACTCTGAGTGCTGCTATACAGGCAGTGATCTTGACAGACTTAGAATCTTAGGCTAGCTGCATTATAAACAAATTAAATACATTTTTTTCCACTTTTTATCCATTTTTGGAACTTTGCTTTAATAATGTCACATATGTATCAGATGATATTATTAACCTAAAAAACTGGAGCATTCCTGGAATACATTTACACGCTCACTTAGATCTTTATCATTTAGTTGGCTTTCGTGGTTTGCAGAGAAATGCTGCAGAGTGAGACCAGTGCTGGGCACAGGCCGTGATAATGTAGTGGTTTACCAACTTTCCTGAAACTTTGTGAGGTTGAGGAAATTCAATATTTAAAATTAGAAAAGAATGTAAAATCACACATCGTGCCAAATGAAACCTACTTTAAATAGACACATCATAGAAGAAGTCTTCTAAAAGCCCATTATCTGAATACCCTCCAATAACAAACAACAAATAAAACAGACCAGAAAGGAAAGCGAAAAGGCCTTTAAAGCACGCTATGAGTCATCCTGTGGAAGATGATTATTCAGGATTTAACAGAGGTAATGAAGGGAAACACTGCTACATAAACTGTAATTACACATATTAATATGGTCTAGATTTACCCTGTTCCAATTGAGTTAAGTATTTATTTATCTTCTACAGATGGTGGAAATGGATATATCCATTTACTTTAACATTCCAAAAAGGGTGGGTCCGTTCAAAGGAGGCTAAGCCAATTCATCATGAGAAGGCATTTTATAACATACAAAAAAGACCATACAAATGTTCCAATACTAACATGGAAATTATATAAGGTTCTCTGTTAAGGCTCCATTATGAAAAAGGGAAAAATAGAGAAATATCAGGCACGTCTAATGTATAGTGGTCTCTGATAGTTAAAAAAAAAAAAAAAAAAGGAAAATATTTTTATGCAAATAACTGTATAACACAGACATTTTTCTTTGTACTAGATTATAAACCATGTATGTATTTGTAGTGGTAGTAGACGGATGGGGGTAGCATGATATTTCAAGCATCAATAATCATACTTGGGTAAGAAATCTCCCAATGGAAGCTGTCATTCTCCGACTCCCAAGTGCCATTTTGTTTTTAGGGAAGTAACTTTGGTAATGCGGAGCACACTGCTCCAGAACTCAGTTGAGAGGGTCACAGGAACTTCAGTTTGCACATTTTATTTCAAACCTTTATTAAACACAGCACCTGGTGATCCTGCCATGAAGGTCTTTGTTCTGGT